GAAAAGGCACAAATGAAGGATGGGAAAGACAGACCCAAGAGTAAAGATGGAAACTCTAAAGGCTGTTGGACTTGTGGGGGTCCTCATTTGGCCAAATCTTGTCCATTTGCTTGCTGGTAATGTGAATCAAAGGGAGGAGGATGAAGAAATCGTGGCTGCAATGGCAAACCCATTTGGATTGTCCTTCAATCACATTATGGGGATCAATAATGTTGGAGAGATCTCTAGCACTTCGAATCCTCATGCTTCCTTAATTCATATAGAAATGAAAGTGAAAGAACAATGTGTGATGGCAATGGTTGATACAGGGGCCACACACACGTTTGTAGATGTGAAGATTGCTACAAAATTGGGGCTGAAGTTGTCTAAAAGCCCTTCCTACGTCAAGACAGTCAATGCTATGGCACAAGCCATTGTGGGCATGGCTTATAGTGTGTCTATGTCGACTGGAAATTGGGTGGGAAAACGTAATTTGATGGTGATGCCGCTTGGAGACTTTGAAATTATACTTGGGATTGATTTCCTAAGAAAATACCAGTTTGTTCCGTTTCCTCACTTAGATGGAGTGATGGTAATGAGTGGAAGTGATGCTGGTTTTCTGAAGGGTGTTCATCCGTTTGGAAACATTAATAAAGTTGCAAAGAAGAAAGACAAGGAAATGTTGTTGTCTGCTATGTCGATCGACAAAGGGCTGAAGAAGGGTGATGAAACCATACTTGCTGCCTTGGTCGACATTAAACCTGATGTGAAGATGGAAGTGCCTGATTGTGTCGCTGAGTTACTTAAACAATATGCTGATGTTATGCCACCTGAATTACCAAAGAAATTACCACCAAGGAGGGATATTGATCACAAGATTGAGTTGCTGCCTGGTACGGTTGCCCCTGCACAAGCTCCTTATCGTATGGCTCCTAAAGAATTGGTTGAACTACGCAAACAACTGAATGAATTGCTAAATACTGGATTGATTCAGCCGTCTAAGGCTCCATATGGTGCTCCTGTTCTATTCCAAAAGAAACAGGATGGAACAATGAGAATGTGTGTGGACTACCGGCCGCTGAATAAGGCAACTATAAAGAACAAATATCCGGTTCCGTTGGTGCAAGATTTAATGGACAGGTTAAGCAAGGCATGCTAGTTCACAAAACTTGATTTGAGGGTAGGCTATTGGCAGGTTAGGATTGCAGAGCGTGATGAACCAAAAACAACATGTGTAACTAGATATGGTTCCTATGAATTCCTTGTAATGCCGTTTGGGCTGACTAATGCCCCGGCAACATTCTGCAATTTAATGAACAATGTACTGTTTGACTATCTTGATGACTTCGTTGTTGTTTACTTAGATGATATTGTTATATATAGTCAAACATTGGAAGAACATGTTAATCACCTAAGTCTGGTTCTGTCTCAATTGAGAAAATACACACTCTATGTCAAGATGGAAAAGTGTGAATTTGCTCAACAAGAGATAAAGTTCTTGGGGCATCTTGTTAGTAAAAACCAAGTTCGAATGGATCCTAAGAAAGTGCATGCCATTGTTGATTGGCAGGCACCTCGTCATGTGAAGGATTTGAGGTCGTTTCTTGGCTTGGCTAACTATTATCGAAAGTTTATTGCTTGTTACTCAAAGAAGGCAGCGTCTTTGACAGATCTGTTGAAGAAAGATGCAAAATGGGTTTGGTCCAAACAGTGTGAAGAAGCATTTCAAAATTTAAAGAATGCTATTGCATCAGAACCTATACTCAAATTGCCTGATTTTGAGTTACCGTTTGAAGTACACACTGATGCGTCAGACAAGGCGATTGGTGGCGTATTAGTGCAGGAAGGTCATCCGGTAGCCTTCGAAAGTAGAAAGTTGAATGATGCTGAACAAAGATACTCAACACATGAGAAAGAAATGGTTGCGGTGGTACACTTTTTGCAGGTTTGGAGAGTCTATCTCTTAGGCACTCGATTTGTGGTAAGAACTGATAATGTAGCAAATACGTTCTTCAAAACACAGAAAAAGTTGAGTCCTAAACAAGCACGGTGGCAAGAATTCCTGGAAGAATATGATTTCATGTGGGAACATAAACCAGGAAAACACAACCAGGTTGCTGATGCGCTGAGTAGGAAAGAAGTGTTTGTTGCAGTATATTCAATTTCAAAACAGGAAACTGATTTCTATGATAGAATTAGGTTGTGTGCTGCAAATGATTCGTTATATGTTAAATGGATGGGTCAGGTGCAGGAGGGCACAATGAGACGGTATTGGATCGAGGACGATCTGCTCTATTTTAAAGGGGGGGGAGAATCGTTGTGCCAAATCAGGGCGGGTTGCGCAAAGACTTGATGAAAGAAGCGCATGACTCTGCTTGGGCTGGACATCGAGGTGTTGAAAGGATGTTATCCTTACTGTCTCGTGTGTATTTTTGGCCGAAAATGGAAGACGATATGGAGGCGTACGTTAAGACTTGTCATGTTTGTCAAGTCGATAAGACGGAACGTAAGAAGGAAGCAGGTTTGCTGTAACCTCTGCCTATTCCTGAAAGGCCATGGCTATCGGTAAGCATGGATTTCATTTCTAGATTCCCTAAAGTAGATGGCAAAGCATCTATCATGGTGTTAGTTGACAGGTTTTCAAAATATTTTGTTTTTATTGTTGCTCCTGAGTTATGCTCATCTGAAGTTGCTGCTGAGTTATTCTATAAACATGTGATTAAATACTTTGGTGTTCCGGCTGACATTGTGAGTGATAGACACACAAGGTTCACGGGTAGATTTTGGACAGCATTGTTCAATATGATGGGAACTGAATTAAAATTTTCTACTGCAAATCACCCACAAACAGATGGACAGACGAAAAGAATTAATCATTTGTTGGAAGAGTACTTGAGGCACTATGTGACTGCAAGTCAACAGAATTGGGTGGCATTGTTAGACACTGCGCAGTTCTGCTATAATCTGCACAAGTCGTCTGCAACAGAAATGAGTCCTTTTGAAATCGTCTTAGGCAAACAGCCTATGACGCCATTAGATGTTGCTAAATCTAAGAATCAGGGAAAGTGTCCAGCAGCATACAGAGTTGCAAGGGACAGACTTGAAATGTTATCTGAGGCACAAGATAGCTTGCGCAAGGCTCAGCAATGCATGAAGAAGTATGCTGACCAGCATCGTCGCTCAGTTGAGTTCAGTGTGGGTGACAAGGTGTTGCTGAAACTTACCCCACAAATCTGGAAACAGATTGTAAGTAAGACTAGACATCGGGGTTTGATACCTAAGTATGATGGTCCATTCGAAGTGGTAAAACGAGTGGGCGAAGTTGCTTATAGGTTAAAGCTGCCACAAAGGTTGAAAATTCACCCCACCTTCCATGTGAGTTTCTTGAAACCTTACTTTGCAGCTGAAGATGATCCGGACAGGAACAGATCAAAGAGGGCTCCTCCATCAGTACCTACACAGTATGATGTTGAAATTGAGAAGATCCTTGATCACCGGGTTTTGGGCACGAGTAAGAAGAATACTAAGACTGAGTTCTTGGTCTATTGGAAAGGCAAGAGTGCAGCAGATGCTGTTTGGGAGAAAGCAAAAGACCTATGGCAGTTTGATGCTCAAATCGATGACTATCTCAAAACAGTCTCGATGAGGACATCAAGTTCAAGTGGTGCGGGTGGTCTGTTAGACCCGCAAACTACTTGATCTAACTACGTGCAGACATGCGAAGGACTTGGGCATTGGTCTTGGCATGGATGATGGCAAAACTGTGCAACACAAGTTCAAGGTGCTTGGGTGTTGGCAAGGCAGCTTAAATGTGCATGACTTACGTGCGGGCTAAGGGCGTTGGCAAGACAGCATGTTGACTTGATGAAACAAGGTTGTGAAGACTTGGCAAGGTCAAAGACAAAGGCAGTTCACCCAAAATTGCTGAAATAAAACTAAGTGTGGAAGACAGCTAAAATATTCTAAGTGTTGGAAGCTGGCAGGATTATTCTAAGTGTTGGAATGAAGCCTGAAATATTCTAAGTGTTAGAATATTAGTATTTCGTGTAGATAAGAATGTAATTTGAATTAGATTCTATCTGTTAGAAATATAGCTGTTGGAAAGTTAGTTTTGAACCCTGGGCTGACATCTGTCGGACTGGTGTCATGTGTAACCGCCGCATGTAACCGCTTGTAACTGCCATTGTGCAGAATTTTGATTTAAGGTGGAAATTCGTCTAAGGTAAGGGACAGAGAGTTTTCTAGCCTTAGACTGATTTGTGAAGCCTTCCTTTGTATTAATTATCAATTAATAAAGATTGGGACTTGGTCCTGTAAACGCTGCCTGTTTATTGTTTGACATTGCTGTTTAAGTATTTCTATACTTAGTCAATTCTGTGGGTGTAAGTAGGCTGAAGTATTACAGACGCTGTAAGACTGCCTAGAGTGGTGTGCGAGAAAAATAAATCGACCCTCTTTCAAAATATAAAAAGTGTCGTTTGACGGAAGTATGTATGTTATGCATGCAACAGTCTAAAATCTGTATAATTTAAACACTTAAACAATAAATCACAAATAATCAACTACGTTAATCTTAAGGTTAGAATCCTCCAATTCCTCAAAATGAAGCATGGACAAGAAACTATACAACTCATGCAGTCTTATTTATCTAAGTAAAGGAAAGGTACGGAAATCTTTCTAAATCTCCTGATATGACTAACTTGATGTTCCATCTCCAAGTGAATAACAACACTAACAACAATGACGAAACAGTCGATCACCAATCAGGGTAAGATGCAAGACAGACAAGTTGATTTAGTTAACATACGATAGAGTCTAAGTTTAAGATCTTCCTGGAACTACTGAATCACTCAAAGACGAGCAAACAACACACTATATGATCATGGTTTTAAACGTTTAGCAAACATAGAACGAACCCAAATGAGGCAATCAACGAAAACCCATGAATCTTCAACAGTTTCTGCACTACACAGATTAACAACAACCCAAAACAATCGTAAACACTAATGCATAAACAACCCACGCCATGATGAACTCGTGATAAATAGATGAGCAGCACAAACGAGCAAGCGTAACAAAACTAAACTAAAAAAAAATAGAACCATTATGCGAGACGTCTTGCAGAATCAGACCAACAAACAAGATGTAACGTCCCATATTCACAGCAACATTGACCCTATACTGAACGTTCGAATATCAACAGATTTGATCCCAGAACGAAACAAAAGGACAGCAATATGAACAACAACACATATAAGGATTCAAAATATCACCAGCAAACATTAACAATCACAGCTAAGAACCAGCACATCGACGCACGTAGACGAAAGAGGTTGGAAAAAGATAGACGATACCTTTTCCGGGGCAGCGGAACGGGGACGTCGACGAGCAGCGACAGGCTTCCACACAATCCCTCTCGAACCACGGCAAGGCGTCCGAACGAAGTGACTCTTCGCGGGAGAACTGTCTTGCTCTTCTAAACAGACAGGAAAGAAATCGCAATGTTTTCGAGGATTTTACTTCAACTCAATGTTTCCCAACCTCCAGAATTCCAAAACTCAAAATTCTTCAATCCTACTCTTCTCCTACAGCGAACGCGAAACAGAAGAGAACCAAAATGTTTTCAAGATTCTTTCTCTTTCCCAAAATTCGCCTCTACCCTTTGTGATAGAACTCTCCGAAATTTTTTTTTTTTTTAAAAATCCTCCCCCCTTGAACTGAAAAAGGGAATGGGGTTTATATAGATGAAAGAAAAATAGGGTTTCAATCTTGGGGGTGGGTCATACGATATTTTTCCCCATTTTGAATTCAAAAATCGAAATTTATCCAAGAGGACTATTCCAACGGAAGGGAGACGGAGGAATGAGATCAATCAACCATCCTTGCGAGTTACGTGTCATCATCTTGGCGTGGCAAGGACGGGACTTGTCCCTTTGTGCTCACTGCAGCTGCAGATGTCCGTTGCGGATTCTCGTTCCTCCACGCGCTATGGAGAGAGGAGGAGAGAGAGGATGGGAGCGTGGGAGATGAGGGAGAGAGCGTGGGAAGACGGGGTCGCGTGAGGCTGTTGGGAATCGCGGGGGAGAGAAATCTCGCGTGGGTGTTGCTGCGTCGGGGTTTTCCGTTTCTGGGAAGGAGCGTGAGAGCAGGGAAGAAGGAAAGGGAAGAGCGTGGGGGTTTGAGGAAGGGGAAGGGGAAGCGGGTCGGGTTGTAGGCGCCGGGTCGGGTAAGGAATAAAATGGGTTGGATCTATGGGGTTAAATGTAAGTGGGCTGAGGTTAATTGGGCTGTGAAGTTAATGGAATGGAGTGGGAATTAATTGGTGTTGGGTTGAGAAGGCAATTGGGCCTGGTTAAAGGACTTGGGCCGTCTGAAATGAGGATGGAAGAGGGGGCTGGGAAAGGGAATTAATTGGGTTGAGGTCGAAAGTGGGCCTCGGGTAAATTGGGAGAAGGCCCAAATTCGGTTCTTTAAAATTGAAAGGGAAAATGGGTTCAATTTAACAAATAGCCAATTGATTTAAAATAAAACGAACTTGGTATAAATTTACTAACGAGCTTCTTTATTTAGTAATATAATTATTTAAATTATAAACAATAGTGATTCAAAATATAATCATAATTTTAAACTAAATTAGTTTAATAGAATACCTATTAACACACACACACACACACACACACACACACACACACACACACATATATATATATATTTCGAGTAATCATAAAACATACTAATTATACACATAATTATGTAAAATATATATATTATCTACAAGTTATAAGAAATGACAAAATTACTCAAAATAACGCGAACTTTGTATATTTTCTTAAAATTTATAAAACTAATTATTTTAACTTGTTTGGAAATTTAAGATGCTCGAAAACTAATTTATACCTGCGTGGGTCAAAATTGGGTGTCAACAACTGCAACCAAACATAGCCTAATTTGACTTTTGCTAGAACATTTTGAGGATGTGATCATATTGGTCTTTTATGAATGTACATCCTTGAAGTAGTTGTTTGACATCTTTCTCAGCTTGGCTTAATGATGTAAATTTTTACCCATTCAGTTGCATAATTACCACCATTATCAATTTGAGACTCACTAACCTTTCTCCCCTACTCAAAAATCTGTACATTTGTGTTAAGAGCATAAGAGAAATGAGCCTCGGGTACTGAAGTCTGACCATACTGACCAGACTCACTACCATGAACCTCTCTTTTAGACTTGAAGTCAGGTGGATACCCAACAGTTTTGTAGCAGAACTCTTTGATGTGGTCTCTACATTAGTAGAAATCACAATTTGCACATAATTCTTCTTAAACCTTTGCTCACCCCTGAACTACTTGTTGTGCTCACCCCTGAGCTACTACTAGTTGTCCCTTGTGAAACAGTTCGATTCTTCCTCTAAAAAAATGACTCAACCCACCGGCAGCCACCCTTTTTCGGTTTCTGGTTTATAAGCATTTGGTTTATTAGGTGCATTCTACCAACATTGCTGGGATATAATGGGTAACAATATTTTTAAAATGGTACAAGATTTTTTCATATGTAATTCTCTTCCTAAATCCATAACTCACACTAATTTGGTCGTTTTACCTAAGAAGGAACAAACTCGTACTCTTTGTGATTTAAGACCAATTAGTTTGAGTAAATTCATTAATAAGATTCTATATGTGGTTGTTCATGACATAATTGAAGTTTAATCACCTAAATTGATCACCCACAATCAATCAGTTTTTGTTAAAGGTAGAAGCATCATAGAAAATGTGCTATTGACACAAGAGATTGTTACTAACATAAGAAAGACGGGTAAACCATCAAATGTGGTCATAAATCTTCATATGACCAAGGCAAATGATACAGTATCTTGTTTTCTTCTAATGAAAGTTTTAAGAAACATGGGGTTTTCAGAATTGTTTGCTGGTTTGATTTTGAAATTGATTTCCAACAGCCGGTATTCAATCTTGATCAATGGCCAAACACATGGTTTCTTTGATTCCACTAGGACAGTGAAACAAGGAGACCCTCTATCTCTGTCTCTCTTTATATTATTAGCAAAACTGCTTTCAAGGGCCCTAAATACGTTGTTTGAGGATGCTCAATTTGTGGGATATGGTTTACCAAAATGGAGTGCTAAGCTTAATAAAACTCTCACTGATGCTCAAGTTGATGCGACGGTCAGTGATAGTCATATTGTAGGAGAAAAATTTTGAGGTGATCTTCATAATCATCTCAATGCTAAAAAATCTAATTCTAACAGGTTGGTATTTGGTGAAAAGGATGATGAAGGAACAATTAAATATTTATGAATAGGGACTGAAAAGAGTGATAGTGAAGATCAAAATTTGGTGCCGCGAAATTCGGTCCAGCATCTGGCAGCGTTAGACGACTACTCTTCTCCCAATCAACAAAGCTGTAATTCAGCTGATCATGTTGAATTTGAAGAGAAACTCGTTGTGGATACAAGTAAATCAAATGATGCAAAATTTGCGCAAAAAATTAATAAGATAAAAGAGAAGGGAGTTGTTGCTGAAAATTCAAGTATGAGGCAAGGTGATAAGCATACTCTTGAGAAACTTCACGATGCAATACAGAAGCCAAAATCTGATGTGCAACTTGAGAATTTGGCAATTGATGGACAAAAATTTGATGGATCAAAAATAGGTGATTTGCAACCTTTTGAACCTGTCGATTTGCAGTTCGAAATTTCCGGTCGTGATTAGAATGCAACTGGGAATTGGAACACAATTGCACAAAAAAATTCTATGTGTATTAGTTCCTCTGCAAGTCGAAGTAAATCTCCACGTCTTGAAAATAAGCAATAGCTAACTACTAATCTAGTAGCGCAATATAATGAACCGAATGAGGTTGTTTATACAAATCCGTTTGAAGAACTTGAGGTGGACAAAAAATTATAGTTGGTTGATTCTAATCCCAAGAATTAGCAAACTTTATTTCGAGCCGATTTTGATAATAATATACAATTAGTTAGCACACCAATTGGAGTATGTAGCATGCAGACTGAAATAACAATACTGTTATGAGTCCTACATATATCTCTAATCGTGAAGTATCTAAGATTAGTGAAGAAAGTGAGGCTTCCAAGTCGCTCAAACCCAATCAAAGATCAAGTCACCCATGGTCACATTGAATACCTTAGCTCATGAGGTCTCGAAAGAAAAGCAAAGGGAGATGAGTACTCCTAGGTGGGCTGATATGGTTGATGAAGAAGAGCATGTTTCACCTCTGCTTTTGAATAGAAAACTAAGTCCACAAGCTTTGGAATTTGTACCTAAAAGTATAGTTGCAAAGATGGAGGAACAAAAGGCCTTAACATCAGAATTTAGTCCAACTAGGGTTATGATCGTGATTCAGGCAATGACCCTTTTGATGAGGATGAGGAAAAAATATGTTGGATATATGCTTTGACTAAGTGGATAGGGATGGATATATCTCACCTCGGCATCAAAGAAGTGGAAGCAACCAAAATAAAAAGAAGACACATGGAAGGCAAATACAGTTGCGATAGTTAACTGATAGGAGAGTTATTTCCAAGGGACCTACCAATGCGAATGGCAAAGCAGAACCATATGACAGTGTGAATGACTTCAACAAAATCCACTACATCAAAGAAGATATGATGAACTATCATGTTTTGTTGGATGGATTTGAAGAATAAGACAAGATGAAAAATACTTCAGGTCACTTTAGATGGGCTATCTATCATTTTTTAAATTTGTGGTTAATAACTCACTTTCTTCTTGGATTTTATATTTGTGCATTTTTCAAGTATTCTTATTTGTAATATCATCATAGAGTGTATTATAAATTCTGTGATGATAATAAAATATCTAGTTCTCTCTAGCTCTTTTTTTCATGTTTGTTAATTAATAGAGGTTTGTTGCCTCATTAGGATTTAAAAGGCAAGGCCAATCAAAACCCTTGCATATACCTTTTTATATTGAAGATTTTTATTTTTAATAAAAAAACTACTAGACGTTCTGTTTAGTGGTATAAATTGAAAAAAAAAAGAATAAAGAAGTGCAGGGGCCGCTGAGTAAGAATTGGTGGAGGAATGTGTTGGTATGTCTGAAGGTCATTTTCCTTTAAAATATATTGGTCTTCGTATCACCCACTCCAAAAAAAGGGAAAGAACACTACAAAGAGATTATAAAGAAGGTGATACAAAATTTCAATCTTCCAAAGGAAATATATTGTCATATGGAGGAAAAGAGGTCTTAGTCACTAGTGTGCTACTGAGTGTTCTAATTCATGTCTTATCAGCTATAGTTCCTCCTATATGTATGATTAAGGAACTTCATAGGATTTTAGGAATAAAAATTAGGAGTAATAAAATTACCGCTAAGAGTAAACACTGGCCTACATGGGCGAAATTATATTTACCTAAACTGGAAGTAGGATTGGGTTTTAGGTCCATGTTTGATGTTTCTAAAGAAATGTATGCAAAATTATGGTGGAGATTTATGACTCAAAATACCACCTTACGGGGTAATTTTATGTGGAATAAATACTGTAAGAAGCATATTCCAACTTTGGCTGAATGGAAAGGAAGATCTCAACTATGGAAAAATGTGTTACACAATAGGGAGTGCATTGAAAAAATTCAATGGTGGGAACCTAAGAGTGGGACTTCTTCTGTTTGGTATGATAATTGGACCCAACTTGGGCCTCTTTACACATATCAAACTGAAGTACAAACTTGTCACTCATTGACGAACATTGATTTTTTCCTAAAAGAAACAAGGTGGGATTATGATAGTATGCATGATCATTTGAATGATCATATTGTGGAACATATCATACATCATATGTATCATAATAGATGAATTAATATGGACGGAGATCAAAACAAGAACCTGAATGTTCTGAGTTAAGAGTGCTTGGGAGATTTTGAGAAAGAAAGCGACAGATTATGTGAATTTCAAGAAGATATGGGCAAGATCTTTCTGTTAAGATATCATTCTTTAGTTGGAGATTTTGGAATACTAGAGGTCCAGTAGTTGTTGCTATATATAATTGTAACAGTCCAAACTTTGGTTATGTTATACTGCCCCAAAAAGGGAAACTATGGAAAACTTATTTTTGAAAGGTGAAATTTCATATAGAGTGTGGCGATATTTCTTTTATTCAGCGAGAATATTAGTTCCTTTGATTCAGTTAACGCAGTCTGTCAAAAAATGGTGAGAT